CAACATTTGCTGCCATGAGATGTGGTGACTACCATCGGCTTAGGTATCTCTAAAGGGGGACTAGCTGAATTCAAGAAGGAAAGGTCTCTCAACTCCTGGTGGTAACAGCCAAACTGAACCTTCACATTCCGGCCGTGAACTTCTGGGAGACACACAGCAAAAGAGATTCCCAGAAGCGTCTGGCTAGCCACTGTATGAAAGGGGATAGTTGTGTGGATGATAAGACGGCTTTCAGAGATGGGGGCAGACTTCCCGAAGCACAGCTCTTATTGGCGTCTGTTAGCCATTATTGTTAAAAGGAAAATCCATGTGTAGAGGCACTGTATCTGTGAATCCTGCAAGTGGGAATAACAACCGGGGAGAGCCGTCTGCCTCCATTCCATGCTTCAAACCTTCCTAGAGGCGGCGGCTTGGGGCACCGCTCAGAGGCAGAATATCTGCTTGGCATGCAGAAGGTCCCCGGTTCAATCCCCAGCATCTCCAGCTAAAAGGACCAGGCAGGAGGTGATGCGAAAGACCGAGAGACCCCTGAGGGCCACTGCCAGTCTGAGTAAACCGTTCTGAGCTTGATGGACCAGGGATTTGATTCAGTATACAGCAGCTTCGTGTGTGTCCACATGTGATATCCGGCAAGGACCTTCTCTTGCTCAGAGCCGGAGCCTTTCTTTCTTCCCCACCCCCTCTTTAAACAAAACAAACAACTGCAAAACTGGCAGCTGTTATCAAGACTCGGGGAGGAAAAGGCAGGGCACGCAAGCAGCTGGGGAGGGGAATCGTCTTCCATTTGGCCCCTGAAAACGCACAAGGAGGAAGAGTCAAGTAGAGGCAGTTCGAATTGCTGACTAGAACTGTGACGAACCTCTAAAAGAAGTTTAGGAAACCAATTGAGGGCCAAAAGTTAAAAATGTAAGTAAGTGTACAAAAGAGTGTTTATTACAAAGACATAGAAAAACCTAGTTGTTCAGTCGCACAGTCGAGTCCGACTCTTCGCGACCCCATGGACAAGATCTCGCCAGGCCCTCCTGTCTTCTGCCGTCCTCTGAAGTTGGCTCAACTTCATGTTCGTTGCATCTACGACACTGTCTCACCATCTCATCCTTTGCCGTCCCCGTCTTCTTTGACCTTCAGTCTTTCCCAGCATCAGGGTCTTCTCCAGTGAGTGCTCCCTTCTCATTGGGTGGCCAAAGTAGGGGCCCAAATACAGCCTCATAAAATGTACAAAGTTACAAATACACACAAACGAGAACAGTGCATGACCTGACGCGTCTCGGCTCATGAGAGCCTTCTTCAGAGGTCAAACAGTGCAAAATATAACAAGCAACAGAGTCCCCCGTAACACATGTAAGGCAATTAATAATAAATAATAAATAAATAAAATAAAATAAAATAGGTCCCAAATTGGAATGTACCAATACGGAATTGAATGACACACCAAAAAGTTTCTATTTGGGGCCACAAATATATCTGGCCTAAGTGTCAGAAGTTGTTGTATGAACTGGAAATGTCATGTACCTTCCAGTTTAGGTCCTAAGAGTGCAAACAGAATTGCCTTGTCAGGGACAATGGGCCATCAATATGTTCGAATCCCTGTTGAGCCACGAAGTTTGCCCATTCCTCTCTTTCTTGCCTTTGTTGTTGTTCAGTCGCACAGTCGAGTCCGACTCTTTGCGACCCCATGGACCAGATCACGCCAGGCCTTCTGGTCTTCCGCCGTCCTCTGAAGTTTGCTCAATTTCATGTTCGTTGCATCGATGACACTGTCTAACCACCTCATCCTTTGCCGTCCCCGTCTTCTTTGACCTTCAATCTTTCCCATCATCAGGGTCTTCTCCAGTGAGTGCTCCCTTCTCATTGGGTGGCCAAAGTATTTGAGCTTCAGTTTCATTATCTGGCCTTCCAGGGAACAGGCAGGGTTGGTTTCTTTTAGGATTGACTGATTTGTTCTTCTTGCAGTCCAAGGGACTCTCAAGAGTCTTCTCCAGCACCATAGTCTACCTCAAAAGGTTTTGCGATGAGAAAATGGGAAAACACCACATTAACCACCCTAAAGGATAGATCCAGGTGGTCAGCTGGGTTGGTCTGAAGCAGCAGAACAAATTTAGAGTCCAGTGGCACCTTTAAGACCAACAAAGGTTCATTCAAGGTATGAACTTTCGTGTGCAAGGCACACTTTTTCAAATACATTGCAAAGCAAGCTAGAGTTCAAACTTACAGACAAATGCTGAACAGCAAATTAACATGCAACATAATGATGTTTAAGTTATGCAAAGTGGAAAACTAAATAACAAGTTAAGGTACTCAGGTCAACAGTTGCAAAGCAATAAATATGTCACAACAGCAGATAAATGTCTAAAGGTGTTTTTTTTTCTAATTGTGGGAAGTAACAGAATCTTAATTATCTCCTCTGAGGTGTGGAGGGCACATAACAGTATATTTTGAGCTGGATGTAATCTTGTCAGCAGCTTTATCCTAAAGGATGGGCTTCATTTAAATCTGCAACAGGCATTAACGGCTTCCCATCACCACCACCCTCTTCTTTGTTCCCGTAAGTAGCTTTGAAGATCTTATTCCAGTTCTGTCTGAAAAAGTGTGTTTTGCACACGAAAACTGATACCCAGAATAAAACTTTGTTGGTCTCAAAGGCGCCACTGGACTCAAACTGTGTTTGTTCTGCTGCTTCAAACCAACATGGCGGCCCACCTGGATCTACCCAGTAGTACTGAAGATGCTGAGCTGCAGGCTGGAAGGTCTCTGGCCCCAGCTCCTGCCAACCTAGCAGTTCAAAAGCAAGAAATTGCAGCAAATCCAGTGGCGAATTGGACTCGGGTGTCTTGAGGACTCTGCTTCCGATAAAGGGGCAGCTGCCCCCAAACGTGCATATCAATTGAGCATGAGAAAAGATAAAACAAAATGAAGGCTGAAGGACTCCGAAATGTGCCTTAAAATTTGAGTTTTATTATTGGATGCTCTTGAGGTTCTCTTAAACAGTTAAAGCAATGGATCAAAAGATAAATAATTTAGCATAACCGACTATGTTCAAAGTAACACTAGCAATTTAAGATTAACATTTATATAAGCTGTTGTTATGATCTCCTATTCTTGGGGTTTTAGTTATCAGTGGTTTTCTTTCCTTAGATGTAGTTACCCTGTCCTAATTTTTCGTTGTCGTTAGTATTCTATTAAAAAATGCAATTAAAAAATCGGGGGGGCTAAAAAAAAGGCAAGAAATTGCAAGTAGATAAATTGGTACCACTTCGGTGGGAAGGTGACAGTGTTCCGTGCGCCTCGGTATTTAGTCATGCCGGCCACATGACCACGGAAACGTCTTCGGACAGCGCTGGCTCTTCGGCTTGGAAACGGAGATGAGCACCGCAACCCTAGAGTCGGATTCGACTGGCTTTCGAGCAAGGGGATCTTTACCTTTCTGACCACGACGGCTCAGTGGAGCCTCCACCATCAAGGGCAGTGTACCTTTCTGCGTTCCAGTGAAGGGGCGGTGGGGAAGCCTTGGTGCCCCTTGGCCTTCTTTTTTAGGGGCGTCTGGCTGGCTGCGGTGGGGGAAAAAGTGAAACCCCCCCCCCAGGCATGACCGATCCTCGGCCCACCCTGAGCACAGCAACGAGGACCTCACTCACCCTCCATGGTCTCCCGCACCGCGTTCAAATTGGCAGCGGGATTCGCCATGACGGAAAAGGGCAACCAGCCAGCCTCAGTGAGGGCGCCCGCGGTCACCCGGATGGGAAAGCCGACCCGCCTCTTCCGCTTTACTTTTACAAAGGAGCTCCTGTCCTACTGGGGAACCTATGCACACTTCCGGCGCTACAGCGAAGCCTCTAGCTGCCTTCGCTAAAACTAGAGACTCCCCTCCACTCCCTCTTGGGAGTGCCTGGGTTTCAGTGTTCCCTCTAAGCTGAGTTAGTGTGCGCTAGCTCACAGGTTTTTAGCCTCCAGCTCATGGATTCTTGTCTTCGCTCAGGAAGGATGGCCCCAGAGCAAACTAATTTATGCAGTAGCCAAATCGTTTGCTCACAACTTTAATGCCAGCAGCTCAGAAAGTAGAATTTTTGCTCACAAGACCCCACAGCTTAGAGGGAGCATTGCTGGGTTTCCAACTGCATAAGCGGAAGAACAAAGTTTGAGTCCAGTGGCAACCTTCGAGACCAACGAAGTATTTATTCAGAGTGGAAGCTTTCGTGTGCAAAGCACACTTCTTCAGGCAAAACTGGAATAAGATCTCGAAAGCTACTTACAGGGGAAAAGAGGGTGCGTGGGAGGGGGGGGGGCGGTAGGATCAATGGATGGCAGCAAAGGTAAAGGTTCCCTTGCTCGAAAGCCAGTTGAGTCCGACTCTAGGGTTGCGGTGCTCATCTCCGTTTCCAAGCCGAAGAGCCAGCGCTGTCCGAAGACGTTTCCGTGGTCATGTGGCCGGCATGACTAAACACCAAGGCACACGGAACGCTGTTACCTTCCCACCGAAGTGGTCCCTATTTATCTACTTGCAATTTCTTGCTTTCGAGCTGCTAGGTTGGCAGGAGCTGGAACTAGAGACGGGAGCTCACTCCGTCATGCGGCACACTCGGGTCTCGAACTGCTGAACTAAAATGCAAGCGTTAACAAAGAGATGTGAGAATGAAATTGGGAGTCCAGCGGCACCCCCAAGAGAAACCGAGCTCAACCACCCTGGGTACAGGCGAGAACGGAGACTCGGCCATGTGCACACTCCACATCCATTGAAACAGATTTCCTCAAATATTCCATGCAGGAGGGTGTGTTAGTTGCCAGGAAAAGCTAACTAGGGTCAAGATGCATAAGGGACTGAGCAATAAATACAGCTAAAGTGGGAATAACACATGCTGGTGGCAATGCTCCCGCTAAGCTGTGGAGTCTTGTGAGCAAAAATCCTACTTTGTGAGCTGCTGGCATTAAAGTTTTGAGCGAGCGATTTGGCTGGTGCATAAATCAGCTTGCTCTGGAGCCCTCCCTTCCTGAGCTAAGACAAAAAAATGTATGTGAGCCGGAGGCTAAAAAGCTGTGAGCTGGCTCACACTAACTCAGCAAGCTTAGAGGCGACATTGGCTGGTGGGGGGTTACCCTGCCTGTGACGGGGATAACCGGAAGTGACTCTTTGTCGCGCCACTCGCTTTTTTATCTCTTCAGCCTCCTCCTGTCGGCCTCTGTCATTCATCTCGCCCCCTCAAGGGGCGCATGCGCAAACGGCACCGCCGCGGCGCTTTCTCACGTTTAGCTCGTTGGGCCTCCCCGCTCTATCAGCCCCACCCACCTATCCCCTTTTCAGCCAATGAAACTGTGGATTGGATCGCATGAAGCCCCGCCTCCTGACTTTTTCCGAACCGGTAAAAAGAGAACGTTCAAATGCGGAGAAGGGGAAGGGAAGAAAGAAAGAGCGCCCGCTCTGAGCCGTGATTGGCCCCGCCGGGAGGGGTGTTGCGCGAGCTGATTGGCTGATTTAAAAGAGTGAAACATTTAAGGAGAGTTAAAGAGCTGGAGGAACTGGGCAGAAGCGCTGGGAAGGGTGAGTTTGAATGGAGGGGGTCCCCCCCCCCGGGGCGTGCTCACCTTCATCCTCTTATTGGTTTTGCATCGGTTCTGATCCACGTTTATCTTGTCTTTCCAGATGCTCTGACAGTTTGTGATCCTGTAAAGATTTTTTTTTAAAAAAAAATAATAATAATAATGCATTTCCTTCTGTATTTTGGTGGCTGCAGAACGCACACGTGCAAAACTTACTCTCGTCGGTGCTCTTCCCAGTTCAGTTCTTGGGACTACCCTCCAACTGGGTAGTCAAGTTGACCTGTTGCAGCATACCGTGTGAGTCCAGAGGTGCGACTGGCCTCGACTTTGGTGAGCTGGACTGCTGGTGAGGCTGGAAGAGTGGACTCTGGATCCCAAAGTTGAAGCTTGGATTAAAGTTGTTAGCCTCTGAAATGCTATGGGACCCCCAGGTGTTTGGACATCTGTCTGTCTTTCTTTAGCCCGCCCCACATCCAGGGAGCCAAAAGGCACAATAGGGTTGCCAGATCTAGGTTGGGAAATACCTGGAGACTTTGGGGGTGGATCCAGGGGAGGGGAGGGGCCTCAACCTGGTCCAAGGCCACAGAGTCCAACCTCCAAGACAGCCATTTTCTCCAGAGGGACTGATCTCTGTCAGCTGGAGATCAGTTGTAAAAGTGGGACATCCCCAGGCCCCACCTGGAGGCTGGCAACCCTAAGGCACAGTGTCTCTGTCATCCTCACAGAGCGGGACGGGTCCGGGGTCACCCAATAAGCTTGATAGCTGAGTGAGGACTGAAGCTTTTGAACTCCTGTATGTTTTTTTTTTTTACATAACATGGTCTTGTTGTTATTGTCTGTTTGCTTGGTTTTGTTGTTCTTTGTCGTGCCTTTAGTTGGTCTGGAGAGGCAGCATACACACAACTTCTCAACAAACAAACAAAACCTGGGTCTCCTTCTAAGCTGTGGAGTCTTGTGAGCAAAAATCCTACTTTGTGAGCTACTGGCATTAACGTGGTGAGCGAGTGCTTTGGCTACTGCATAAATCAGTTTGCTCCGGAGCCGTCCTTCCTGAGCGAAGACAAAAATGTGTGAGCCGGAGGCTAAAAAACTGCGAGCTGGCTCACGCTAACTCGGCTTAGAGGGAACACTGGTGTCAGGTGCTATCTGACAGGCCATCTGGTGTGAGAGGACATTATAATATCCTGCCTTTCCAGATGCTCCAAAGAGTGTACAACCTGTGCCTTAAAGACATAGGAATGGCAGCCATTTTGTAAGTAAGATGGTGAGCTGAGCCCAGATGGTTTTGTGGCTTTTCTTGGCTTGAGATGAAGTTGGTGAGTGTTCAGTATGTGTCACCTCGCTTGTCTGGTTTCTAGTGGCAGATTGTTTCTGCAAGAGGAGCCCCCGCACATCCTTTTACTTTCCTTTACTTTACTTTAATTAAGTGATTTTGAAACTGAAGTTTCCTTGAAGGCTGACCGGGATGTCTCAGTGAGGAGGTCAGTCAAGAAGAGACAGGGTTTTTTATGCCCTGTTTTTCTCCACCTTAAGGCATCTCAAAGCCGGTAACAATCTCCTTCCTCTTCCCACAACAGAGAGAGCTTGTGATGTAGGTGGGACTGAGAGAGTCCGGAGAGAATTGGGACTGGCCCAGCAGGCATGTGAAGGAGTGGGGAATCAAACCCGGTTCTCCAGATTACAGTCTGCCACTCTTAACCATTGCACCGTTCCGTACAGTATTTAGCCACCAGAGCTTTGGAGGCTGAATTAAGCAGCTGAACTTTCCCCAGAGGTTTATCTTAGGTTGGGAAAGCTTCCTCTACATAATTTTATTGTGCTACGCTCCTATAAGTTACAGGTGCACAAGCCTGTATATCTACTATATATCTATCGTGCTTTCATATCGCCAGAGGTCATTTCGGGGGGAATCGGAGTTCCCCTGGGTGAGGTACGGGGGGCGGGGCACATGATGAAGCCCCGCCCCCTGCTTCCGGCCGCCCTGCTTCCGGCCTTCATTCAGCCAGGAGGAGGCAGGAGAAGAGGGAGGGTAAGTTGCTTCCTCCCTGCCTCTCCCCACCCCTGCCTGCCTGGGGCCAGGGAGGGCCTCTGCGGGGCTTCCTTGCACTCCCGCCGGCTGGGACCGTTGGGGGCGGGGTGTGTGGCTTTATGACCCACTTCCGGTGATGTCTTGGGGTGTGGCCTTATGACACACTTCCGGTGATGTCAGGGGGTGTGGCATATGCTAATGAGTTCCCCTAGCTCTTTTTCTACGAAACGACCCCTGCATATCGCTCTTCTTCCCAAGAAGCTTGGGCTAGTATGAGTGGTTCTCCCCTCCCCCATTTTATCTTCAAAGCAATCCTGTGAGGTAGGTGAGGCTGATTTTAACCCATGTCTCTCCAATCCCAATCTAATCCTCTGACCTCTATGCATTCTGCTTCTCTGAAAAACAAGGTGGCTGCCCAAATTTGGGGGATCTGCCAGAGTTAGCTCTCACAAGAAGAAGAGATTGGATTTATACCCCCACCCTTCACTTGAAGTCTCAGAGCGGCTTACCATCTCCTTTCCCCTCCCCTCCCCACAACAGACACTCTGTGAGGTAGGTGTTGCTGAGAGAGCTCTTGAAAGAAACTGTTCTTTTTCAAGGACAGCTCTGATCAGAGCTATGGCTTGCCCAAGGTCATCCAGCCAGGTGCAAGTGGAGGAGTGGGGAATCAAACCCGGTTCTCCCAGATTAGAGTCCACAGACTTAACCACTACACCAAACTGGCTCTCAAACAAGGCAAACTGGCTCTCATCCTGACTGAGAGGGTATCTTCGAGTATGTCCTAGAATCCTTTGAAACCCTGAAGGTAGGAAGTTTGGAAATCACTGCTGTAAAAGTGTCCAACAAAACCAACTTCCTCCCCCTTTTTTTTTTTAAAGGTACAACTTGGTGTGATGAGCAGTCCCAAAGAAATGAAAATGCAGATTAGCCCGGAGACTCCCGGACGGCTCCCGCTCCAAAACCCCTTTGAAAGCCCGAGCGATTATAGCCACCTTCAGGAACCAACCTTGTCAAGTCCTTCATTATTTAAGTCCGCGCAGTCCTCTTTGGTAAGGTGGATGGCTCTCGTTTGCCACGGTTTGTTCCGTTCCTTTGAATGTTGTCATCCAGAGACCTCCATCTGTATATACCCCATGGTAATGATTCAGTGACTGTTACGTTTCCCAGGGCATTTGTGGCATTCTTGGCTGGTTACCAGAGTAACATTCTACAAAGTTGTTATGAAGTGAGGTCGGTTTTGAACTCCTGTCCTAAACTGCAATGTAGTGACGGATGAATGCATGAACGCATGAAGCCGCCTTATACTGAATCAGACCTGTGGCCTGTCAGAGTCAGTGTTGCCCACTCAGACGGGCTGTGGGCTCTCCAGGGTTTCGGGCTGAGGTCTTTGACACCACCTCCTACCTGGTCCTTTTTAACTGGAGATGCTGGGGACTCGACCTTCTGCATGCCAAGCAGATGCTCTGCCAGGGAGCCGCAGGCCCTCAATTTCTTTATCACCATCTCAGCCATTCGACCTCCATAATTCTAGGCTCTCACCGTTCCGATAAGCATTTTCAGCTTGAGTTCTTGTTGTCCCTGGGTGGCAACATCTATCAATCCTTTACCTAATATAAATTAAGATTCCAGGGTATAAATCAGAGGTGTCAGGCTCATTTGTTATGAGGGCCGGATCCGACATAAATATCACTTTGTCGGGCCAGGCCATGTGTGCCATAAAATGTAACATCAGGTAGGTAAAGGCTCCCTTGCTCGAAAGCCTGTCGAATCCGACTCTGGGGTTGCGGTGCTCATCTCCGTCAGGTACCGGGGGGTAAAAACTTTATAAAGGGATGCGGGCAAACCCAATTAAAGGTAAAGGTTCCCTTGCTCGAAAGCCAGTCGAATCTGACTCTAGGGTTGCGGTGCCCATCTCAGTTTCCAAGCCGAAGAGCCAGCGCTGTCCGAAGACGTTTCCATGGTCATGTGGCCGGCATGACTAAACACCAAGGTGCATGGAACACTGTTAACCTTCCCACCAAAGTGGTACCTATTTATCTACTTGCAATTTGTTGCTTTCGAACTGCTAGGTTGGCAGGAGCTGGAACTAGAGATGGGAGCTCACTCTATCTCGAACTGCTGAACTACTGACCTTCCACAGCCTGCAGTTCAGCGTCTTAACCACTTGAGCCACCGCAGCTCCTAAATCCAATGAACAATATTATTTTTTGTGTTGTCGAAGGCTTTCACGGCCGGAGTTCATTAGTTACTGTAGATTTTCCGGGTTGTATGGCCGTGGTCTTGGCATTGTAGGACCTGACGTTTCGCCAGTAGCTGTGACTGGCATCCACTTATATATAAATAACACGGAAAGATGGAGTACTCTCTGTGTCAAGGTGAGAAGAAAAATGGTAGGCAGGTAATTTATATCTACTCAGGAAACTGGGGTAGGGCTGAGTCATTATCTTGTAGGAGTTCCCCAGGCTATGAACATGCTAATGGAGGAGCTTTCCTGAGGAGGTTCTTTTGTATATGGATTGTTTCCTGAGGAGGTTTCCAGTTTCCTGAGGAGGTTCTTTTGTATGTGGATTGGCTGTTGAAATTCTAATCTTATCTGTAGTGCTACATCTGACAATAGCACTACAGGTTCTGCAATGCCAAGACCACGGCCACACAACCCAGAAAATCTACAGCAACTAATATTATTTTTTACTCAAAATACAAACAAAAGCAATTGATTCACTGGGGAACCCACAAAAGCCCCAATAAATGTATTTAATCGTATGCTAGACTTGGCTTTTTCCAAGGGGGAGTACCTTACATTTCCATACATACCAGTAGCTTGTGGGCCTGATGTTTGATAGGTAAAGGTAAAGGTTCCCTTGCTCGAAAGCCAGTCGAATCCGACTCTAGGGTTGCGGTGCTCATCTCTGTTTCCAAATCAAAGAGCCAGCGCTGTCCGAAGATGTTTCCGTGATCATGTGGCCAGCATGACTAAACACCAAGGCGCACGGAATGCTGTTACCTTCCCACCGAAGTGGTACCTATTTATCTACTTGCAATTTCTTGCTTTCGAACTGCTAGGTTGGCAGGAGCCGGAACTAAAGACAGGAGCTCACTCCGTCATGCGGCAACCCGGGTCTCGAACTGCTGAACTACCGACCTTCCACAGCCTGCAGTTCAGCGTCTTAACCACTTGAGCCACCACAGCTGATGTTTGATACTCCTGGTATAAATCAAGGGTACCCAACCATTTCCAGCCTGCAGGCTCCTTTTAAATTCTGACATCAGGCAGAAGAAGAAGAGGTTGGATTTATACCCCGCCCTTCACTACCCAAAGGGGTCTCAGAGCAGCTTACACACTACTTTCCCTTACTCTCCATACAACAAACACCCTGTGAGGTAGGTGTGGCTGAGAGAGCTCTTTCTAGACCTGCCCTTTCAAGGACAGCTCTTGTTAGAGCTACGGCTTGCCCAAGGTCATCCAGCCAGGTGCAAGCGGAGGAGTGGGGAATCAAACCCGGTTCTCCCAGATTAGAGTCCGCGCACTTAACCACGACACCAAACTGGCACAGCCACAGAATGGCTGCCGCAAAAGGCAGAACCGGTTGCAAAGTGGCTGCCACAGCTCATATGCTACATGTAACTTGAAGACTACTTTGTTTAAATTTATGCTATAAGCAATGTAAATTGAAGCGTATATTTGTAGCGTTGTTTGTTACACAGCTGTAGTTGCTATACAGCTTACCTTTAGTCAGGGGTCCTTTCGTAGAAAAAGAGGTGCATGAGCTCATTAGCATAACTCAATTAGCATAACTCATTTGCATATGCCACGCCCCCTGACATCACCGGAAGTGTGTCAGAGAAGCTCGGAAAAAAACCGTTTTTTTTTTCAAGGAAAAAAATAGAAATTTTCGGAAAAATTGAAAAAAATGCTACATTAGCACTTTTTCTTTCTTTTCCAGATTGAAAGTCATTCTGTTACTTTAGGAACATACTATGGACAATTTTACTTGGCAACTTGGCATGAAATTATCACAACTAGCATATTATTATAAACAGAGTGTACTTTTTAAATAATATTTATTTGTAATTGTAACAAACGGAGCAACAATCTCCTAAACTGTATACTAGTTTATGTGGAACAGACAAAAAAACCCTCCACAAAACAATTTTTTAAAATCCAGAAGTAACAATTATTCATATTTCCTCTCCACAGTATTAAATAAAAATAAAAACACCATTCTCATAAAAAGAACTGAAGAGGGGGGAAGTGTATAGAAGGTAGTGTGGGACTAAGTTTCAATGAATGGGCATGAAATTTAATCAGAATCATTTTCTGAGCTGTAATTATCAGTATCACTTTCAGTCTCTGCTTCTGCAGCTACTCTGTTGTGTCTGTCATTATCACAGTTATTATGGACCTCTAAAAACTGCAGGTTTGCCCGGATTGAAACAAGGTTCCCTACCCTTTCACATGTCAGTTTATTTCTTGATTAAGTGTGTGTGTTTCCAAACATAGACCCGATTCTTTCACATGCTGCAGAAGATGGAGGAATCTGAAGAAGGCGATAAGCAAGAGGAGTCAGAGGCTATGTTGTGCAAAGACCTTGCCACCATGTTGCAAGAGGAATATGTTTGGCAGTTTCCCAGGCCAAGTTCAGACTGGCCGTTTGCCCCGATATAGGCACGAGCCAGAAACGTTTCACAACTGGATTAAAGGGGCCGTTCACAAAGGCACATCTGTCCGGCGTTCCCCAGCCGTACTCAACCCATCTCCTAACGCTTCCCTCCTGAATTTAAAAGATACCAGGTGAAAGTGGTATCAAACCCTGGAAAGCGGGCTCATCCCATGTCCATCCTGCACCAACAAAGTGTGAACACCGAAAGTCACATTTTCCTTGTGTGCTTATGTGCATAAGCGCATATCTCCAAATTACCAAAAAGAAAGCCACACCTTACAGCCGCGCCTTACAGCCAGGGCGGGCCAACAGTGTGAACGCTCCCTTGCACCTCCTCCCGGTATGCTCCCACATCAGTCGCTGCAGTGTGAACGGGAAAACCCAGAACAGTTTGTTCTGGGTATTTTTTGCCATGACTCCCTCCCGCTTCAAACTGCCAG